AACAACCAGGGAAATAGGTGAAAAGAACAGTTAGAGGCTGACTTCTGTGATGTAAACCGTAGGCTCAGTCAACAGAGAGGGAAGAGGTCTCAGTGACTGTGGGAAAGGGCATTAATTTAATATTTCTGGAAGAGGATTGATAGGAAAGTAACATACATAACAACAATTGGAAACAAACAGAATTTCCAGTCGTGGTGTAAGGCTGTGTACGAGTGTTGGCTTTGCTTCCCCAACAGTAGATCTTACTAACCAGTGAAATTTTGTTTTTTGAGCTTGGCTGTGTTGCTAACCGTCCAGTCAGTGCTCATACATTTGAGAATTAATTTATCTGAATGTTTTTTGCTCATATCACAAGCTTTCCACAGTGAGAAAAATCTTTTGATTTTACTTTTAATTTCAAGAAATTGACATCTTTTTAGATAGGAAATTCAATTATGCAGCTGAAGAATTTAGGAACCAGGGACACAGTCTTCAAATGGTTTTAGGTCTGTTTTAACTTCCTTGACTGTTTATGTCAACTCACAGCTCATAACAATCATGCCCTGTCCTCCTGCCCCCTCTTTTTCTTTCAAAGTAGAAATATCCACCAAGTAATGGAGAAATCACATCTGAAAGGAATGTCTCACAGGCTGAGGAACTCACTCAGCAAGAGATGATGGAGGGGTAAGCTCAAATTTAAATTAATTCCCAACCTTCCCTGTACCAATGGTCGATGTCTAACTTAGCTAATCCGGGCAAAAGTGATATATTAAAATAACTTTAAAGATAGGTTCTCGGGCTTTCTGCCTGCTAGCAGATAGGGGTTCTGGATATATAGGGCAGTCCATCTGCCTGATACTTCAAATAAGATCTAAAAAAAAAAAAAATGCTGGTATCACAGAATGGCATCAAAATTGTTTTTCATTCGTTACTCGAGAAATGTGTAGCTTGCTCCATGGCTACTAACCCACGTTCCCCACATTTCTGCCTCTTGATTATGTGTTGGTGCTGCTCAGATTTTTGTTTACATTAAATATCGGATCTTCAGAGGTCAAATGAACACAGTCTTTGAATCAGATTCCTATGAGTTACATGTATAATAGTTTATCTGCTCACACTGGGTAGAAAAATAGTGGGAGACAGTTCAAGCTATCCCAAATAAACAGACAGAAGTAAAGGCACAAATGCTTTTCTGTATAGGCCTGTCCTTGCTCATTTCTCCTTGAGGAGATAACACCTTCTAACACAAGGACAGATAACTATTTCAGGGTTTCAGAGTCCGACCATTTAAAGATGTATTTTCACTCCATTTGTTTTCTTTATCTGCTTTTTTAATGCGTTGGTATATTTCAACTTGGGAAATTTTCGTTCAGATGCACCCAATAGAAAGAAAGCCAAGGAAAAGGGCTTCCTTTTCACTATCTAGGAGGTTTTGAAGGGTGATATGACAAGATAGGAGAATGTATTTTCTGATGGGAATAGTTGTTTGCATGAAAATTTTAATTGTTACCAGAGTTTGAATGGAGTTGCAAGGAAAGGTAGTTAGATAAAGCCTCAGGTTAATTTCCATCATTACCAAGCATTTTACACCACTGAAAAATTCCAAACATATAAAGAGTAGTCAATCTTGTTCTTTAGATAGAAAAAATAAAATAAAATAAAAAATAAAGGTGGGGGGCAGTGCTTCAAAGGCTGTCAGTAGACAAGTCAGCCAATTACAGATCTGATTTGGTCCTTAACCCCTTGAGGTAAAAGACAAAATGTTCTGTAATGTTCTTGGCATGCATTAAATGAAACAACTTAAAACAAAAACAAACAAAAAAAAAACCCTCTACTTTAATGGTAATACAGACAGACGTAAAGAGCTCTGGCGAGAGTTAAAAAATTGGAATCAGATATTAGAATCAAGAATATAAATGGTACAATAGAAACATTTCTGCTATTGGCGTGTGGGGTGGGTATCCTCATTATATTTAGTTATGTGAAGGAGGCGTGGTTGTGATGTTTTGAAGCCAGTAACAGAACAAATGGGTTCAAATCCCGGTTCTACCACAACTATGTGGCCTTGGCTGTACCACCAAAGCTCCCTATACCTCAGTATCTTGATGTGCGAAATGAAGATGATGGTCCCGTCCACCTCTCAGTGTCGTGCAGATTAAATTAATACACACAAAGCAATTAGTATCTGCTGAGTGTTCACTTGCTATTATGATCAATCCACACACAGCAATGTTTCAAGATAGAGAAAATACATATGGCACAATACAGTCCTTCTTGAGGATTTTTTCATGTTTATAGATGATAAAGGCATTGAATGTCTGCTGATGAGGCACATCATTTCCCCTGGAGCAGGGACGCAAGTTTCCCGGGCACCACTGAACACTCCCAAAGTTACAGAGAACTTATTAACACCCTCCATAGCATCCCTTTAAGATGATAATTTATCTTTTTAACATTACTCAGTAAAACCAGCAGAAGAGAGCCAGGTGGGAATAACAACATGGTATTATATACAGCTACAAGTTTGACCAGTTCTATAGATTCTGCTGCAAGGCACAGTAAAATGGAGTAAAATGTAACTTATCTCGAACAGTTGCTCCAATGAGTTACTAGAGGAGTGGCAAGTTTACAGACCAAGCGCAAGAAACCCATGGGAGTTAAAGGCTGTGACCTTTTTATTTAGGATGCACAGTAAAACCTAATTTAAGGCATGCAAGTTATTAGGTCTTTGGAGAGTTTCCTAGGAGCTTTGCAAACAAATGTGAAAGTCTATAAAAGATGTGATTTTGAAATAGCTAGGAAATGATGGGTTGAAATTCCACAGGGGAACGCCGTCATACCTATCAAATACTGGTAATTTGGTTGAAAAGAGAATGCCTCGTTGTTTGCATTTTCTCTCTCCCCACATCTCCCTGGCCACTTTTTATATCTCTGCTCAGCTTGACTGCTGACAGAGTATTGCATGGCGTTCCTTTGTTCTGAAGGGGCAGCCTTTGGTTTCACACTAGTCTCAAGTTCACACAACCAGGCAATCTCACACACCTTTCCATCTGTTCAGGCTTTCCTGTGTCGGGTGCTCTTCCCAAACTTGCTTTAAATATGAAAGAATCACCCTCCACCATTAGTGAGGAATCCATTTCTTTCCCTGTAATCCTGAAGATGTGAATGGAATCCTCCAGTGACAGTGTCTGGCAAGAAGATATTCATGGGCAACTACATGATTCGAATAGATACATTCAATTAGCCCTTCCTGGAGAAGCCTCAGTTTACTTTTTACCATGCAGTATTTCAATGGGTTTTAAAGAAATTCTAATTACTGCATAGAAAATAAGTCATATTCTTCTTCTCTCACTGCGGAAGGCTTTTATTACTACTGCTATAAAACATATATCCCTTTTTTTTTTTTTTCTGTTGCTATCCTAGCAGAGTAGCCTGCATACCAATAGGATCACTAAAATGCCACGAAGCAGAACATATTCATCTGTTAAATTCTATGTACAGTAACCTAACAAATGCCAGAGACAGAAAGATTGCCCTCTGCACAGTAATACTTGTGTAGATGTCTTCTTTATGCTAACAATGACAGGGCTTCATGCCTTGTACTGTACTCAAAAATCAGAGTGCATTTTTTTTTTCCTTCAGTAGAAGACTCTGTATCCAAAAGAAAAAGAACTGCACATTTTTGGCACTGAGATATTTTATGTGGATAATAAATTTTTTCCCTTGAACTCCACTAACTACAAGTATCTACCTGGAAGATGAAATCGAAGATTTATGTCATCAGAACTATTCAGTATACCAGAGGATCATTTTTTCTTCTTTTCAGGACTGTCAACTTTGTTTACTGTTTATGTTCAATTCCATATGACACAAGCGATTAAATGGTCTTGTCATAGCTACATGTCAAACCTTCTTAGGAAAATAAGGTAATAAATGTAAAATTATATTAATAGGGAGTTCTTTGAAAGACATATTACATTTATTGAAAACTAAATTGTAACTGGAATGCTATAATTATATTTGTACTAATCAAAAAGATTTTTGAGTCTATAATTTTATGGCATTTAGTCTGTTTTAAAATTGAAATGACTAAGGAATGATTAAAATATTATTACAAGGAACTTCAAGGAAACACATAAGAAGTCATGGAAGCCCAGAAACTGACTTCATAAATCAGCACGGATCTCGTCAAATCTATTAGCCTCTTAGGTGCATCTTTAATCTAAACGCAACCATTTGGCTATTGAAATCAGCCTTAAAAAATGACATCAAACGATGTTGTACAAACATAAGCTTTTTTGTTAGCCCTGCAACATTAAACTTTTTTGTAATCTAATTTCAATCTCAAAACAATAAATAAGCGCGTGTACAATCGCAGGAACTGAATCCTGGCTAATTATAATACTTCTGCATAGCCTCGTAACATTTGTAAATTGTGAAGAATAAATCTATTTGACAGGCCTGTTAGCAATAAGGCCTTCAGCTTCTTGCTTTGCAGCCGAATGAAGTAAAATCTATCCTTTTCTGGCTGTGGTTAAAAACATTTCAACAGTTAGTTCTTTCTCACAGAAAACGCTGCAGGTAGGTGCCAGGTTAGAAACAAAACAAAACAAAACAAAACCCAAAAAACAAAACCCCAAAATAACACGACTGAATTTTACCCTTGACTATGCTTGGCCAGGATGCATGAGAAGTTAAAACATACTGAGAGATTATTATTATTATTTTTTTTTTAAGAGTGAAAAACTTGATAGAGAGGATTGTATTTCTAGATCAGAGAGTGGACACTATAATCTTTCTGACATTGTAAAACTGAAGCTGGCTGCAGGGAAAATAAACATTACAATACCCGACACTTAAACAATTGTACCTCTGCCGCTAAGTAACAAAAGCGTGAGGCACCTGGAATCCCAGCATTTGTGCCTAATGCCAGCAACAATATAAAGCATTCAAGTGACATTTGATAATGAGCAGACAGTGCAGGCATTACACACGGTCTTTAGAAGAATCAGACTTCCTACCTTGAAAAGACAGATGGAGGTAAGTTCCTTTATAAAAAAAAAAAAAAAAAAAGTTGTAAGTAAAGCCAGGCGGCAGCTGCAGTAAATTGAGTCCTTTCAGTCACTGTATACATACAGCAGTTCTGCAATAAGGGGAAAAATATAATGGGAGGAGCGGCTGTGAACGAGTGACCTCCTCAAGCCGAGTCCTCTCTGTGAACCAAGCATGGAAAGCCCCTGCTCCTGATTTGCATGGAATATCTCCACTTGAACAGATACAGAGCAGATACATTTAAATTGAGCTGGCACAATGGCAAAAAGATGGAAGAGTGAATGAATGAGGGACAGCGCAAGTAGAGGGAGAGAGAAAGAGAAACAGACACGAGATCGGAGAGCGTGGATAAGCTGGTTCTTACAGAACTGTGTCTCAGAAGAGCTACAGCTCCCTCTTCATGTCACAGTTGTAAGATAAGCAACGTTGTCATTAAGAACTGGTTAATCATAGGGAAAAATAGACCCAGATTAGCTGACGCTCTAGCTGAGCTGGGTTTTGTGAGCCTTTTAGGAGTCTTTCTGTTTTGTCATCAGGATTTTAGATGGTATATAGAAAATCTTTTATTAGGAGCTGGGTAAACACATTTGGATAAAACTCTGAGTTTTGAATGCGATCAGAGCTTTGACTTCATTGGTGTACCCGTATGTCAGTGAAAGAACGTAGACAGTTTGTTAAGTAGAATGTTTATTTTGAAAGAGAATTAATCCCTGTTAACTTTTAAAGAGGTAGCGCTATATCCTGCACTGCAAAAAAGGAAAGAGTATTTGAATATTTATTAATGATTAATTCTCTGAAAGGACCGAAATGCACAACTGAAATGGAATTTGTGTTGTTGTTGTTGTTTTTAATCTCCTTAGATTGTTAATTCGGTTCCCCCCCACCTTCATGTTGTCTTTCCCTGGCGTTTCAGAACAGAAGAAATCCTTCTTTCTCTACCATACATGTATCTTTAAACAGACAATGATCATTTGCTTTTCCATTTAGCATCATCAGAGCTTTATATATTCTTATCCTCATTTCGAAAATGAGAAAGAGGGAGTGGAATATGATTGTAACTCTTGCCAACAGTCACTCAGTAAGTTGGTGGCAGATCTCAGAAAGAAAAGAATAACCCTCAGTTAGCAAGTTAACGTGAAGCCTGCCTTCTCTTTGTGTAAAGGTGTCTGCAGATGCCCAAACAGGCAGGCAATTAGGTCAATTCAAAGGAAAAATCAGTCAAACCAGCCGGTTGACTGAATTGATCATAGCCTTGGGGAAGCCATGATTAACTTGGTGTGAACCAAATGACATTGGTTAAATAATGACATTAAAACTCTCAACATACACATGTGCGGGATATTTGCAGGGAGAAGTAAAGAGACCAGTCAGATTTTTGCTGCTGTTGGGAATCCATATCCTGTCAGGAAAGAGAATGAATTTAAATATACTATACTTAAAGGAACTCTGTCTTGATGGACAGAAGTATTACTTTCAAAGAAATCTAAAGGAAAATGCCAGCACACATTTTCATGAGATTTCGCGATGATCTGGAATTTCTGAAGTGTGCAGATTTAGTGACTATAACAGTGTTTAGGAAACAATTGCTTGAAAGTAAAAGGGTGAAGACAATAGTTATTTTATGTCTCTGGCTTCCGATGGTCTGATTGCTCTTCGAGAGGATGGGTGAGTTCTCAGGTTTCTGATATCAATTTGGACACAGCTTGCACACAGGTTGGCTTTGGATGGTTATTGGGATCTTAATATTACTTTTCAGGTGGTAAACTCTGGAGTCAGGGGCCATATAATGTCCTTTAAAATATCTCCCCAAATATTTTGAAAGTGTCCTTTACATATTTGGGATATTTCATGAATGCTTATGGAGGAGATATTGGAAATAATGGTAAAGCACATAGATGCTCTATGCCAGTTGTTTAAAGTAAAAATTGGATTCATAAATGGTAATGTCTTCTGTACCTTCATGAAATACAAGGAAATAAAATTAATACCACGAACATGTCTTGCCATCCATGGGATGATAATAACAGTGTAAGTGGTGTTAGGTAGTATATTGGCATGGAAGCTTATTTAGGCATTCCCTTCCTCATACCTCATACCTTCCAGAAAGTGTGTTTAGGATTTAAGTCACAACTTTCTAGGCACCAGTACTGACTCAGACAATTATCAGCCTCTGTGTCCATGTGCAAGTTACTTAACTTGTGTGTAAAATGGGGATAAAAAAGGCCTTTTCTTGGGGCACCTGGTTGGCTCAGTCAGTTAGGCATCTGCCTTCGGATTGGGTCATGATTCTGGGGCCCTAGGATTGAGCCCAGATTAGGGATCCCCACTGAATGGGGAGTCTGCTTCTCTCTCTGCCCTTCCCCCTCCTTGTGCTCGCTCTCTCTCCCTCTCTCTCTTTTCTGTCAAATATATAAAATCTTTAAAAATCCCTTTTTTATATGGTTGATGAAAGGAATAAAAGAAAGGGTTTAGCATAGCATGTGGATAAATACTTAATCAGTGTAAGCTATTATTCAATTATTTTAAATCCATTCCCATTGAACACGGTTGTCTCTGAATTGGGAAGTGTTACTATGGGGTCTATTGGATGTAGGGGTGAAAAAAAAAAAAAAAGAAAGATGACTTCTTTGTCTGTTCTTGGCTTTTTCTTGCCATTGTATGAAGAAGGCTCCTTCCTGGTCCCCGACAACCAGAAGGACTGGTGCCTCTACCTTTTTATAAAAGACAGAAATAGAAGTACTATTCTCAGGAGAGCTAGAGAGTGTTGTAGCAAGCAGATCCAACCTTCTGTACAGGAATAGGAAATGGCTTGTGTGGTACAAAGTGAAGGGCATCCAGAAGCTGCTGGTCCAGAAATATCTTCCCATCTGTCCTCTCCTATTTCCTGAAATGCCACCATTAGAAGTTTATTTCTATGTTTTACTGGCTTCCCATTCTCTTTTTCAATGCACATATTACTGGCAAAATTGACACATTAACAAGTTTACACTTAGAGTAGTACATGAACTCATAGTTATTTTAATTATTCTATCAGAGATATTTTCTTCTAGCAATGAGCTGAGGACCAACAATGCCAAGGAAAAGCCAGATTTCAATGAAGGTGGAGAGAAAGCTCCTTTGGTGAACACCAGACAGTGTTTGGGGATGAGATCCTAACAAGGGTAGTGCTAGAGCTGCACTTGGGCGCACTCAGACCCAGGCAGTGAGAGATCTCGCAGCAGGCCCTCAGAGACCAAGGTGCAGGTGTTCACCCCTCCCACCCGCCCTCCACCCCCATGTGTGGGAACAAGGAACAAGGGTGCATTCATTCATTTAGTCATTCAGCAAATATCCATTGAGTGTTTTGTTGGCAAGAACCTAGGGCTGCTTATCTCAAAAGAGATGGTGCTTGCTCTCATTTTTATTGGAGATGATGGTAGCGAGCATGGAATCAGATTGAGTCTAATACTGGACATCTGAACAAAGGAAAATAGTACAGAGGAAAGAACGCAAGGAAGGCAAAGCACAGTTGGAGTGATTAAGGCCTTTACAAACTAGGCAACGCTTGATATGACTCCTGAAGGCAGAGTGCTGTTGGACAAGCAAGGGGAGCTGGTGGGGCTGCAGGTGTGTGCCAGGTCTAGTGAACACAGGTACAGAGGCAGGGCGGCACGAGAGACACAACCAGCTGGGAAAATCAACTGGGTATGCTCAGAGGTGAGGATAAGATTTTATTTATTTATTTGACAGATATTTATTTATTTGACAGAGAAAGAAAGATCACAAGTAGGCAGAGCAGCAGGCAGAGAGAGAGGGGGAAGCATGCTCCATGCTGAGCAGAGAGCCCAACGTGGGACTTGATCCCAGGACCCTGAGACCATGACCTGACCCGAAGGCAGAGGCTTTAACCCACTGAGCCACCCAGGCGCCCCAGAGTCGAGGATAGAAGGATGAGTGGGAAATGTGGAGAGATGTGACTGCAGTGTTACAAAGAACCGAGGAGCGGGTCTCAGGAAGGAAACACGGGGCACAAGCACGACAGATCCTTTGTACCTCTGGGCCTCAGCCAGGGACCTTTGTCTCCCCGCAGCCCCACCTCCCTATGCCGCCTGCATGCACTCATCAGGGCTCCCCAGCCCTGGGAACACATACAGAGAGCAACGTTTAAATGACAAGGAGTGCTATCCCTGGTGAGGAAAGGGGGATGTATTGCCAATTAGATTAGAGATTGAAGTCTGTAGGGAATTGAAATATTCCAAAATCGTTTGTGAGGGGCCGCCACCCCATTCTGTAACCTAAAGTGCTGAATGGCATATTCATCTATGAATTAAAATTAATTGTGTTTGGAGACTTGGGGATGTAGCAAATCAGGGTGGGAATCACTGCTGGAGCCCTGAAACTCATTTAGCATATAAAAAAATACAGCACTTTGAAATCCTTAGTGAGACAGATTACCAGCATTAGTGCCATTAATACTAATGATGGTTAATAATTGGAAAATCATATTTATAAAAACAGTAACGATAACGGACTCAAACCGGATAGCAAACCTCCCAACTCTAATCTAAAATGCTGTATTATAAGCTTCCTGTTCTCTACTGTTGCTTGAATCTTAGTTATTTTGACACATTTATCCAGAAAATATCGAAGTTTCTATACTTAACCCAAGAATGACAAATTGCTTCTTGTAAATATTACACTTACAGTAAAATTCACTGTAAGATAAATGATTACATAGATATTGGACCCAGTAGTGGGAAATATATTTGAATTCTAATAAGGACTGGTTCAAGCTTAAAAACAATTAATAACTGTCAATTTCCCATAAACACAATGACAAGTAAAACCTCCAAAAAGGGCACACAAACCACAAATGATTAAAAAATTATGCTGATTAACAGAATACCGAATACATTAGGATTCTTTTAAGTTATCTTTCGATTTCCATCTTCATGCTGCCAGCCACCAGCCCAGTGGAGGTGACAAGAGTTCTGGTTAGTCCAGCATTCAGCCTTTCCCCAGCATTTTAAAACTACTTCCAATTCTCTGGCATCGAAGGAAGGAGGTGTGTCACTTGGATCTCCCTTCAAGGAAAACCTTGGGGCGCTGCAGCAAGGAAGGAAGGGAGCTGACAGCCAGCAGCCATTGACATCGGCACAATTCCCCTCTTCAGGCAGCTCTTAGGCAATGACCAAGTGTAATGGGGCTCTGAAGGCCCATCTGTGTTGCCCAGGGCAGGACTCCTCTGAGGCTTTCCCTGCCCAACCCTGACTCTCCCAGCATTTGACTTTCCGAGGCTTGGATCCCTCGTTGAACTCAGACCCCTTAACTCCTCTCGATCTTCACTTCCCAGCAAATGTAAGTTCCTAATCATCAACAGTATATTCA